GAGCCGAGCTCGGTTCATTTATATGCCTACCTTTGACATTTCATCGGACCTGACCCACCACTTTTTGCCTCGACCCATTCATAATTCTTAGATCCTTTACCCCAAATCTGTCAACCCATTTTTTGATTTGTACGTCGATTCTAAATCGATCACGAGTGAACTCATCTTTTCAAAAAATATATTTATATTCATGTTAAACAGCATTAAGAAAAAAAAATAAAAAATCAATCATCTATTAACAAATAGATGGTCCAATGGTCGATTTAGAAAAAATATGACGATCTGGATCCGTGAGTTCTCAAGCCAACCCTGACCAGTTTGAAACCGGTTTATGAATTTAAATTATAACTTAAATTATTAAATTATAAATTTCCTGGTTCAAGCATGAAATCGACAATGTTGACCGGTTTTGGATTGGACCTAGATTTGTTGGGCGGTTTTTTTTCCCCCTGTAACAGGCCCGCCACTGCACATTCCGAGTCCCAATTTGGGCGCTCAACCCGGGTTCAACCGGTTTGGAGCATTGGTTAACTGGTCGAACCCGCCAATTCAATTGTCCAATCCAGCCTATAATAATATATAATACTTTGAGAAAATTTACACAACATACTGTCTAAATAAAACTTTATATTTCGAAGCCCAAGCAAATTGCTACAGCTCCAAAGTCTGCTAAATACTCGGCTGTTAAGAGGCCTCAAAGATCATCCAAATGTCGTTTGCCCCAAATCTAAAACTTCCCTTCCATGTGAAAATTTCATTTGTATTCCAGTAGCGTCTTTTAGTTTTCAACTAGTGCGTGACTTGTGCGATACAGGAGAAAATAATATTACGATTGTATCATAAATTAAATATATAAATAACATTAATAATGATTTACACATTGTTTTTTAAACTAGTATTCTAGCATGTGCACATGCACAAATACAAATAAAATTTATATGTTAAGTGCCTGTATATGTGATATTTAAATTCATAAGTTAGATAATGAGCATATCAGACTTTATAGATTTTATCAATAGTAAAAATAAACAATATAAATATAAACTATTAACTTACATATCAATCTTTATATTGACTGCAATAATATATTTTTTGCAATCTTTGATATTTTAAACAATTGAATAGATAAAAAAATATTAAAATTATTATTATTGCAATTTTGCATGAAATTTTAAAATATAATTAGCTAATGTTGATAAGAAAACTTGGTTAATGAGTTAAAACAAAATAATAATAATAATAATAATAATAATAATAATAATAATAATAATAATAATAATAATAATAATAATAATAATAATAATAATAATAATAATATTATTATTATTATTATTATTTTAAATGAATAGTTTCAAAAAAAATTGATTACCATATTATTTAATGTGACTTTACAATTTATTAGTAGTGATTGTTACATAATAAAATAAACAAACAATATAAATATTTAATTAATTCTAAAGTAACAAAAAATGGAGGAAAACTTAAAGAATTTTATTAAATTTGTCGCTAGCAACTATATATGTATATATTTTATGATACAAAATTAAAGGGGTCGGTAAAAACATATATTATAAAATGTTGTAAGATTGATTTGTTTACAACATTTTAGGATTTAGTGTCTTTCATTGGAGTAAGCGGCTGATGGAATTATTTGTGATGCTCTTTTTGAAAATTATTTATTTATTTTTCATAGTATTAATTGACTATCGAGTAATAATGATAAATGTATTAATGATTATTAGTCAGTTCAAATTTATAGTAATAAATGTATTAAGATAAATTTGTGTAGGATATTTTTGTATACAATGATGATATTTTTATTCAATGATGCATTAGTCAGTTCAAATTTTTATTAGTCAGTTCGTTGTAGTAAGAGGCTGGTTAATATTGTGTATACAATGATGATATTTTTATTGTATATGATTTTTTTTAACATTATAACATTTTTCTCTCTTTTTATAGGTTGAGGTTGAAAATAAGAGTTGGTGAAGTATTGATTAATTGTAGAGAGAGAATTTCTAACAATTTTTATATTTGTAATTTTGGTTATACGGGATAATTTTTCTTCACCATTATTTATTATGGTATATTATTAATTTTAGAGAGTAATATCATAATCAGTTTTATTTACTAAATACAAAATATCAATAAAGTATTAAGAATAATATATGAAATATTATTTGAGAATCAATTTTCAATTTGATGAAGCTTTATTGATTATTGAGTTAATTATGTACTTATTAAAAATAAATGAATTAAAGGTGAATATAAAGTAGAAACAAAATTGTAACGGTTTTGTATTAATGAGATTTGATAAAGAAACAAAAAGTCAAAGGTAACTTATTTAGGCGGGAAAATGACTGTGGTTTTATTAAATGTTTTATTTAATGTATCTGCCAGCAATTATATATACTAGTATTCGACCTGTGCATTTGCACAAATGTAAATAAAGTATTGTGAGTTATTTGTATGCATATAATGATTAATTATTTTTCTTTCACCTTTTTGCTGACCAAATTTACAATTAAAGGAGTTGGAATATCTATTTTTTTTAAATTGCATTTATATGATTGGATGTAATGTATATTTTGGTACGTCTTTTTTTTTGTGAATTATTTATTATTTATTTAAGAATTTCAAATACGTTTTTTATTTT